CACCAGACCACCAGATTAAATGATTTGATTTGGGGCTATTTTATCGATGGTAATGTCACCAGCATTTTCCTATTTCCCCCAAGATACTGGGTATTGGTCTAGAGCTGAAACACCTACAAAGGTCTGAGAGACATGCAAATAGGCATATTCTCCACTGGAAAAGACTTCTCATGATTCTTAAGGATGGTTTATGCTTCTTTGATAGTAAAATCTTCTGTTATCAATTTATAAACTACTTTTTCTCCTAAACAACTAAAATTTAGCAATACTTTCCAACTTTTCTCAGTTGTTCTAAATATTACATAGGAAGAATAATGTTAACAATAGCATTACTTATGGTCACCTATGTCCTATGTGGCTGTTGATACTCAATGGAAATTATCTTTAATTCATTCAGAACTCTTAAGTTACCTCCAGTTCCTCTTATGTACAAGTTAGTGGTTTACAGGTGATTATTTTCAATCAAGAAACTGTGTCACCTTTGCTTTGTTCTAGGTGATGAGGGTTTGTCTTGAGAATATACATAAGCATGGAAAAGCATCAAATATCTCCTAATAGTTGAAGAAGCAGAAATATTTATAGTTCTCTAATCACTGAGGCAAAAACCCAACACATACAGTGTAAGAAGAAGAGGTCTAATTTTATTCATAGTTTCAAGGCATTCAAACCCAGTTCAGGTATCTCCAAGGCAGAAATGTCACGGTGGAAAGGCATGGCAAAAGAAAGCTGCTTACCTCATTGTAGGAAGGAAGCAGAGGGAAACCATCAGTGGATTAGTTAACCAATCTGCTGATGAGTATAGAATCCCCACAGCTCAATTACCTCCGAGTCCCCAGCTCTGCATACATGAGACCTTTGCAGGTGTTTTACCTCTAGAGCAATAACCATTATCTTGGGGGAAATAGGAAAACACTGATAACATTATCATGGATACAGTACACTGATAACATTATCATGGATACAGTAGCCCTAAATCAAATCATTTAATCTGATGTTTTGGTGACCCAGTTGCTCCTCATCTATGCCCCACCCTCATGTTCAATGACATCCAAAAAGATCTAATTGAGCTATTCATCACCTTTCAAGAAAACATATCCCTAATGGGTAAAGATTTCCTCCCAGGTTTTCACAATGGACTTTTGCTAGACCAGACTCTTGACTCGAACTCTACTTTCTAGTGTAGTCTATATTGGTCTAGGTTATTTAATCCCTATAGAATAAGCCACAGTGACTTATCATTGAGGACACTTCAGCTAATGTTTTGTTTGCTTATTTTCTGGAAAGGTTCTTGAAGATGTATTGCAGCCTGTTAAAGTTGAAACAGAGCCACATTTGAATCTAAATCCATTGTTTTCCTAGTTTTCTTTTACCAACATGGTTTTTGTCTCCTTGATTTTGCAATGGTTTTTCATTGAAATATTTATAGCCCTGTTTCTTATTCTTAATTCACTGAAAATTGGTTGCAGTCTTTTTTCATCATAAGGTGGTGGGACAGAAATGGCAATAAAGAGAAAGTAGAAAATATACAAGAAATGGAGAACTAAAGTGTGTCTTAAAGGGAAAAATATTTCTAGACCCTAGATATCATCTACTTTCCTATTGGTAAAAGGAAAGAGAGAGACACTGAGAAAAACACTCACACAGAGAGAGGAAAAAGACCAGTATTATACATTTGAGGGATAATGATCAATCAGTCTCATTGTGGAGGAGACAAAGTCTACTCTTATAGAAATGCTCTTTTCTTTTGCTTTTGGAATAAGAGCTGACTGGATAGTCAACAGTTAGTAAAAAATGAAAATCATAAAACTTGATGCATATCTCTTAAATAATTAAGTTTAACTTAATGTTACTCAAATACATATTTGTTTCTTAATAGCTTAACCAGAGTTAAGCTCATTCATGTTGTTTCTATTAATTAAAGTGTTGTGTTGCCTTAATTTTTCTAAGTTTTAAAAATTTTATTTTTCTGTTTTTGCAGTGCTGGAGATCAAACTCAGAACCTCACACATGCTGGGCAATTTTTCTACTACTGAGCTATGTGATGCATTTCTTCCAGAAATATTATACACCATCGATGAGTTTTGTTCAGCTAAAATGAAAGTCAAACTGGAAAGGTTTTGTTTGTTTTGTTTTGTGTTATTGGATTGGGAACTGAGCTCAGAGCCCCTTTTTATAAATTCTTAGTTTGAACAGAGTCTCACTAACTCATTGTTATTGTTTAGGTCTAGAATATTCCCACCAAAGCTCATGTATTCAGAGGTAAGGCATCTTAAAGATAGTGGTGGCACTATACTCATCAGTGGATTAATCCACTGAAGAGTTCAGAGCTGAACACTATGTTAGAAAGTGGGGTCTGTCTGGAAGAGTTGGGTCACTGGAAGAATGACCTAGAAGAGGATGTCCCTCGCTAACTGTTCCCTTCACTCTTCTTGCCTCCTGGCTGCCGTGTTAGGAGCTGCTGTCTTTTTCCTAATCCCTTCCCCCATGCTGTTTCTGCCTTTGACTCAGCCAATCACGGACTGTAAACATGAGCCAAAACTAAGCCTCTCCTCCTTTAATGTGTGAGTGTTCAGTATACTGCCCTAGTGACGGGACAGTAAATAAGACAGTAAGTTTTTCCTCCTGCCTCAGACTCCCAGAGTGCTGCGGTTATAGGCATACATCACCATGATTGGTACTTGAAAATTCTTGAAAAATAAGTTGATCTTTCACCATACCTTCTCCATCCTATGAAATGATTTCACCCAATTCTAAACTGATTACACCATTCAGTTCCTTCTGCAAGCAAAGAGTACACATTGAAACTTTCTGAAACATTCTGCTTAGTTTTGTTGGCAGCACAGAATAAATAATCCTCTTTCTATATTCATCCTTCTTTGTGTTATATAATATTTATTTCAAATACATAATTACTATAACAAGTACAGCTATTATAAACAGGTTGGGAGCAGACACAACTGAGTCTTCATAAGGATGCAATTCAACTGGAGCAGGGGAAACATGTGAATACACAACAAAGAGAAGCCTGTTGCTGTGTAGGTGGGGAAGGCAATGGCACCAGTCAGTAATCTACAGAAAGAATGTAGAGCTTCAATTAACTCATCAATTCAGCCGCCTGGAAACTGGATAAAGAGCTTCGAATATAGTTGACTTTGTGTGTTCTAAAGAGCTATTCTACGTTTTCCAAGAATAAGCAACAAGAACACATATTGTGTAGCTGAGAAAATCCAACTAGAAATAAGCTCATACACCACTCCTCCTTCAGTGAACCCGTGAATATTTACAAGGTCAACTTGGTGGCAGGCACAAGAAAATCAACTTGCTATCTTTATAAATGAATTATAAAATTATTAAAATATTTTAAATTATATAAGTTTATATGACTCCATAGCAAAACATCTGCCTGCATTTCAGATATTCCCCTGGAATTCTTGGGGATTGTGTGGGGAATATAACATACTCTTCAACTCAATGATCACTTGCTTTTAAGTGGAAAAACCAAAGCAGGCCAAAACCTTAGGAAGGAACACATACACACACACACACACACACACACACACACACCACACACACACACACACACACACACACACACACACACATGTTTTTTAGGGGCACTGGGCTGTGTTATTTCAAGAAATCTAAATAATAAAGTTCTAAGCCTCAACGTAAAAGTTAAATTCTAAGCTTTTCGCCCTCTTGTGTATATACTATGTGTAATTTCTTTTTATTGAGTGTAGGCAAGTCCTACGCTATGATTGCTACATTATTTAAGACCATCATAGCAAATGAAGAGAAATTCTCCTACTGACTTCAAAGAAGTAGACCATCATGTTGCAAGAAAGAAATACAGCTAGAGCATGAGGATGGCTGCTAGAAGCTAAAGGTAGCCTGTAGGCAACAGGAAATTAATGTGTTGGATACTTGAAGGTAATTCCAACCCCACTACTCTACACTGGGTGAGGTGGTTACATTAATGAGGTAATCTTAGGTTCAAATACTCATGTTTTAATGAACTCACAAAAACATTTTGTTAGTCATAGGGAAAACCAAGAAGCATTTAAAAACCTACTACTACCTCCTAGAAATAAGTACAGTATTGGTAGTGCACATTGGCAATACCAGTTTACCAAACATGAAGCCATGATTCCAAAGCTTTGTTAATGGAACAGATATTTGATTACATACATATACATAACAGAAAATACTGATTTCTGAATCAATGCCAGTCTTGAGTATCTGGGATTCAATTACAATTTCTAGGATCTTAATAACACAGACTCACTCTGAAGTTTTGCTAGACTCCAATATCCTTAAAACATTTTTGATGAGTTAAGTGTAAATGAATAAAAACCATATGTATAAAGATTTCTTGAAATACATGTTGGTTTCAAAATTAAGTGAAAAGGGACCTGGCAAACATTTGATTTGGGATCTGCCAAAACCAAAGTATTTGAAAGAAAAAACTCAAGAAATTTGGAGAATCCCAAAGTCTGCTAAGGTTTTTCTCTCCTTTAAGGAACAAATGAGGAGAGAGGGAAAAAATGACAAAGTAGTAAGTGAAGCAACTCAGCTTCTCCAGGACAAAGTGTGTAGAATCCAGAAAACAACAATTCAGAGAAAAGCCAAAGTGAGTGGAAGGTACACAGGAACTAAGAGAGAACTGACAGAGGAGAAAAAAAGAAGCAAAAGTGATACAGAAGACATAATTCACCAATGCCAACCAGGGACCAAGCACAGCCACAGAAAGCAGCTGTGTAGCTTAGCGCAGGAAAATAGTGAAGTCAACAGCTTTTCTGCTCACAGAGAAATGAGATCTGATCTAGACATGGAGAATTTCACGCATTCAGAGGCAGCAGTGAGAACAGGAGCTACTGTTAGCCAAGCGATCCCCAGAGTCAATGATTGGTGAGTGACTGTGGAGTGACACCCCAGAATACAGCAGAGCAGAGCAGAAAGGGGCAGGTGGGGGTTGCCATTTTATATAGGAAAGAACTCACTGCTTGAGCTTCAGTTGGGAACAGTCCATAATGGCTCTACTGGCAGCTTCCCAGTGAAAGAGGGAAGGGCTGACCAATCAAAACAGACTTCCGGTAGTTAGCCCACTGAGGGGGAATTTCACTGAGAGATCGGGGCGGGGACACCCAAGATTCCTCTCTCCTGAGGAAGTGGCTGTGGTGGCAGCTGTGGCAGCAGTGGTGAATTCTTCCTACCATTCCTACCTCTAGACCCAACACTGCTCTGGGCACAGACTGCCCTTCCAGTCTGAACAAAGACGCACACTTCCTGGAGTTTTGCTTTTAACATGAACCTGAGGAAAGGAGCCATGAATCCAGAGCAATTGAATTTTTTGTTTTTGTTGTTTTTTCTATTCTTTACTTGACTGTTTTTTCTATTCTTTATTTGACTGTATTGTTCTCTCACGTTTCAATTTTCATTTAACTTTTTAAAAATTTTTTCTTTTATTTTTCTCCTTCTATATATTACTCCCTGCACGTTTATCTCATTATTTAATACTATTTCATTTTAAGAACCTATCTGTGTATCTGTACTTTCCCTGTACTTCATTGTGTGTTTGGTTTTCTGTTTTATTTTGTTTTTGTCCTCCCAATACAGTTCTTAGAAGGTAAAGAAACTCTCTTTATTCATTTATAACCCCCTTACTTTTACCCATATCTCCTTGTCTGACCTCTTTCCCCTGAGTTTTTCTCATTCTCAATGTTACTTTTCTACATTCTTTCCCTTTTAAGTTGACTGCTTTAAACCATTTCTCTAATATTTACATCAAATACAGAACATTTCCCCATGCCCATGTCTCACTACGAATTTTGTACATTGTATTCCCTGTTATCCCTTTCTAAATATATAACAACATATCCTTAACATCAATAGGACCCTTTACCCCTCTCCTATTTCCCTCTTCACATATTAGAGGGCAGAGGAAATAGAGAAGAATTTTTTTTTTGTTTTGTTTTTTCTTTCTAGTTCTATTCCTCTTCTCTTCTCTCCTTTGGCATTACACAAACCCATGGACTTTGCATTGTTGATTCTATAAAACTACTGTTGAATGCTGTTTTTTACCAGTAGGAGAGACACATCCAATAAATTTGGTGCACAGTAACTGTGGGTTAAGGCTTGGGTTGTTATAATGTTTACACTACAGCTATGGATTTCTTCTCTAGAATGAAGAAGGACCCTAAAGAAGGTCTGTGGCATGTAATTTCTCAACTAACCCTGATAGATTTCACTGCAACTGCTTGTTAAAACTGTATTTAAACTGATTCCACAGGAATAATCCTGACTCAGAGGTCAACTGAGGGCCAGTGGACTAATTTGATGAAACCGCCATTATACCCAGGGACAGCAAGTGTTCTTAACCTAAGATCATAGACTCTATAAAACTCTGCAAGAACCTCTGCCACGTGGCAGAAAGAGGCCTGAGTCTGAATTAACCCCAGTTTTGCAGCTGAGTGACCATAGGAGTAATTGGGGTATGATCATATAGAATCTCTGGCAAAGAGGTGACTTGCAAATCACATGTGCAGTGGCTCATTGGAATATCTAATTGGGGTTCCCAATGGACATTTTACTGGCTTAAGTTTTTTTATGTTGTGTTTCCTGAGTTATTTGCTAATGCATTTACCTACATAGGTGCAAAAATCCTCAACAAGATTTTTAGCAAGTAGATTGCAGAATATTAGTAAAAATAGGATACACCATGATCAAGTAGGTTTCCTCCCAGAGATTCAAGGATGGTTCAACATATAGTAAGTCTATAAATGTAGCACATCACATAAACAGGAGCAAGATCAAAATTACATGATCATATCAATAGATGCAGAAAAGGATTTTGATAAAATCCAACATCACTTCGTGATAAAAACCCTGAAGGAAACAGTTATAGAAGGGCCATACCTGAATATGATAAAAGAAATCTATCACAAGCCAATTGTAGGCATCATACTAAATGTGAAACCAAATAAAGCATTCTCCCAAAGGTACAAGACAAGACAAATATGTCTAGCATCACTTCTGCTCTTCACCATAGTTCTTGAAACATTAGCCAGAACAACTAGGCAAGATAAAGATTTGAAAGGAGTATGTAGAAGAAAGGAAGAACTCAGATTATCCTTATTTGCTGTTGACACAATGCTCTATATGGAAGACCCAAATAACTAAACCAAGAAATTCTTGAAATTCGTAACTGATTTCAGCAAATTAGCAGGATACAAGATCAACACACAAAAATCATTATTATTTTATACCAACAATTAATAGGGTTAAAGGGAAATTATGAAAACAATACCATTCACAGTCACTTCAAGAAAAATAAAATATTTAGGAATTAACAAAACCAAAGAAATGAAAGACCTCTATGAAGAAAACTACAGTACTGTGAGGGAGTCATCAGAAAATGAAAAGATGTCTCTTTTGCTTGGATACGCAGAACCCATACTGTCAAAATGGCCATACTTCCAAAACTGTCATACAGTTTCAGTGTACTACCAATTAAAATACCAATGGTATGCTTTATAGATCTAGAGAGAAAATCCTAAAGTTCATATGGAACCAGAGGAGACCCTGAATACCAAAAGTAATCTTGCACAGTAAGAGCAAAGTAATTGACATAGAATACGACTCCAAGCTGTGCTACAAAACAATAGTGATTAAAAAAAAAATGGAATGATACTGGAACAACAAAAAGAAATGACATGGATCATTGGAAGAAAATTTAGGCTACAGAAACCTCCCCAGACATATGCAACTATTTAATCTTTGACAAAAACTCCAAAGCATATGTTGGAAGAAAGATAGCCTACACTGTTGGTGGAAATGCAAATAAGTACAACCATTATGGAAATCAGTGTGGAGATTTCTCAAAGCACTAAAATTAGAAATTTTATATAACCCATTATCTCCAGGCTAGATGTCTTCCCCAAGGAGTTTAAGTAATCACACTACAGAAATACTTGTTTATCAGTGTTTATGACACCATAATTATAATAGCTAAATCCTGGGAGTGGCCTGTGTACCCATGAACAGATGACTGGATAAACTGATATCTATACATGATGGAATACTACGTGGCTATGAATGATGACCAGTACGAGGCATTTCTATGAAAATATACCTGGAAAACATAATGTTGAGTGAAATAAATCAGACACACAACTTTGAATACTATATGATATCTTTCATTTGAATAAGGCAAAGTACAAATAAAAGGAAAAAAGATGGATAGAAATGTACAAGGGGACATATTTCACACCATAAAAAAATGGTCCAAGGAAATGAGGAGAGGGGGAAGGAGGAGGGAAAGGGGAGATGAGAGAAACAAAGATGTGCCATGCACAAAACCCTGATAACCCCAATCAATGTAAACATAAGCCATAACACGTGCTAAGACAAATAGTATCAACAGGTGTGAAAAAGGTGATTGGGGAACCAGAGGCCAGAGTGGGGAGGTGAGAGAAGGGGTTAAGGGATTTAAAAAAAAAAAAACTGTAATATGTTTGTGGAACCACTCCCCAAGAAGATTATAAACTGCATGAATTACAAATAGGTACTAATGAAATAAACAGAAAAATTACAAATTCAGCTGAAAAAACTCTATAAATGGTTAAGCATGGACATTCTTGCTAAAACATTAAATATTTATAAATAACTTGCTGTTTTTACATGCACAATGACACATACACAGATATATACACAGGTACACCGTACCATTACATTTGGGCTTAGGCCATGTTCAGATTTCACTGGATATCAGCAACAGCTGGGCTTTCTAGGCATTAGCAATACAAACAATATATGAAGATACTCAGGTTCTTGCCACACAGAGCAAAACTTTTGCTGGAGAGGAAATATTCAACACTGGCAAATCTTATTACCTACTATTTGTAAAACTCTTCATTGGTATCCCATTACCCACCCCAATCACACTGAAGCCCTTTATTTTCTATGCTTTCAGTGAGCTTCTTGGTATCCCTATCTTTTAAATTTTGATTTCTCAATTCCACTGTATGTGTCCTGGGGCTCCATCAACCCTACATTAATTCCCATCACACTGCTTATGAACAGTATTTCCACCTTTTGCATTCATGCTAACACTCTCTTCCTGGTCCTTTCTCTCTAGAATTCCTCTCCATTACCTCCTGCAAATGTCCTGGTCATTCAAAATCCAAACTCCAAAGACATCTGCTCACGAGCTCTTTCATTACCTACAGGGATTGAAAAAAGCATAGTTTGAGCATTTTTCAAAAATTCTTCCACATCTCTATACTGCCTGCAATCAGTTAAAATATCTTAGCATTATGAGTACAAGGATATTGCCAGAGAAATCTCAACAATCAGACCTTCTCTCTTACCAGTTCCTACTATTTTGATAAATGGATTTGAACAACCATGTAAAAATCAAATGCAATATTAATTTCTTCACTATCTATCTGGATTGCTAAAATAACATGGCTTGTTCTACTTGGCCATCTGCATTTTTAAAATATTAAAATAGGTAGCAAAGCTGAAATAGAGAAAGAAGCCCAAAAGTAAAGAACTCAGATACTCAGAATGCTAAGGACATATCATGAAAAATGAACTGCATAGAACTGAATTCTTTTTGCCACATCTTGCTGCAATAATCCTGACATCTGATTAATGAGGTATAGTGACTGAGACAGTAAAAATCGTGACTTGTGTGTTTGCTCCAGTGCTTATAAGTATGAAAATCACTCCTCCTTGACATGCAAAGTTCAACAAATAATTAGGCTTTCCCTGGCCAATCCAAGCCCACTATGCCAAAGAGCTCCCTGCTTTCATAGTTTTCTCCCTTCCTGCTCCCCCCACAGATATTCTGACCCAAACATACACTTGTGTACTATTGGATATATTACATTTGTTCATACCTCTATCCTCTGAAGCTGTTTCTCACTTTTTTTGAAAGATCTTTTAGTCAACCTGCTACAACTTTTCATACCTTAAACACTCAGCTCGAAAATTTTCTTTAGTACACATTTCTTGAGCCTACAGCCAGAGTTGTATTTTTTCTCATTTGCTTCCTCA